TCTTAAAAAGAACTGCGCCAGTCTTATGACAAGAATGAGAGACAACAGATGGACAAAGCCAACCACTGCATGGCATACATGTAAAGTTTAAAGAATAAAGAAAAAAGCCAGCATGGTGTGGAAAACATCACATCACATAAAAATTTTTACTCTGTACTGTTCTTACATGGAACAGTACAGAGTAAAAATTTTTGTGTTCTTACATAGAACAGTACAGAGCAAAAATTTTTATGTGATGAGTATTGATCATGTGTGTGGATCGCTGTGTGGTGTGGTACATAGACTGGACGGCCAATTAGATAAATGATAAGTTTTATGTCTTACTTCTTTACGACGCAGATAACAGCCTTGATAATACACAAAGCGTGACGCTTGGGCTTTGACGAACGGGATGGTCTGCTCAGCAGTGAATTTAGCAAAAGGAGTTCCGAGGTCGAATAGCTCTGACTTCGAGGCGTGGGTGTCCAAGTCCCAGTAATGTTCGAAGATTGCGACGGCAGAAGTCTTAGCTGGCGAGCCGGGGATGATGTCAGTCGAAGAAACTGAGAGCTACGAAGAATGGTAGGGAGGTTTATAAAGGATGTAAGAACCGCCTAAACAGAGGATGCGATAGTTTTTTGGAGGGGTTGCAAATGCAAAAATGGTAATTAAGGTAAAGGGAAATGTGGAAAGGGAAAATGGAAATAAGGGTTTTTAAGGCGGTTAAAAAAGGAAATGAAAGGAAAAATAACAAAAGTGGAACTTCTGTGAATGCAGGTGCATCCCAAAAATAGGACCAGAAACGGGAATAAAAGAAACGAATATTTAACATGGTTTTTATGTACAACTGCCACATATTTTACAATACATAAAAAGAGGCCAAAAACGAAGAACGGCGAGACTAACAGCTGCATCAATAACGAAAAGAAACACAAATGCGGTGGAACAACAGCAGTTAAATTTTGTCTTATCCTCGGCACAATGCCCACATTCTCAGCGAGCTTTTATCAATAAAGTCATAAAACTGAAGTAGAAAAAACAGAGCCTCTTCATAACTCATTTTTTTTGTTGATGCCCCAAATGACTGCACGTAACAGTAGCAGCAGCTGCCTTTTGGTGTGTTTTTTGATGGCCTTCCTTTTCAGTGTTCCTTAGAAACAAAAAAATTGGCCAGCGCACCAACTGCCGGTGCGAAGATGGGTTTTTTGCATAGTTCCCCGCAGGTTTCTGTCGCTAATGGCACTGTTTTCTCCGGCAGATGCTTCTAGTTTAGAGAACTAAGACTGGTCACCAGAACTGTCAAAACATATCCCCTTAAAACTCCAGCTTTCTAGCTTTTCTGGCTACCGAGTTAGCAGCTTGCTTGCCAAAAATTTTGGCGGATCCGTGCGTGGGAACCACGTGAGTAACAGCAGCCATTTTGGGAATGGGGGCCCGCATGTGCACGTAGATTAAGTTTCCAAAGTTTCAGCCTTCCAGCTTTTGTATGTTTCAAGATGACCCCTCGACAATATTCGTCTTTGTATTGCATAGATGCAAAAAACGCAAAAAAATGGCAGTTACTTTCTTCGTGCACCATCACTTTTTCCGTTGAAACAGCTCAAGAACAACCGGTCATTTCGATGCCAGGGAAACCAAAACTTCAAGCTTAGGCCTAGAAACTATGGAAATAGCTTGCATTTCATTACATCTACCAGTTCGGGGCATCAGTTCGTTTTACCTTCAGTAATGCGACGCTCAACGGCCAAAATTTCCCGTTCCAGTGCGTCTTTGGTG